CTCATTCTCTTCATAGTAGCTGTCCTTATCTTTACATATGCTGAAATTGAACTTAAGTGACTAGACTAATATCATTCTGAACAGTGAATAATAGTATTGCTAGATTTTATATCATAATGTTACAGAATTAGCATTGGACTTCTTGGTGTCTCTTCTTCAGAGTATCTGTTCTTTACATCTTGCATTATATAATCTGTTCCCATAAATAGTTTAAAAAATTATTCCCATGTGTGAATTTCTACAGGTATAACTATCCTCTCTGTATTATAGGGAAAAACAGATCATAACAAGACAACAAAACAAATTCCTAGAAAAACATGCAATGAAAAAGACACATAAGACCACAATATTAGGTGATCTACCATAGTTACTATGCTTTCTCTTGTTATTTTAAATAGACTTGTCCACATCATCAGGCTTAATATAGTTCAGCATAGTATTACATAGCTATTTTTATAAAAGCACAGCTTTGAAAACGTTGTAGGATTTGAGAGTGATTAATAATCAAAACTGGTATGGATATCTTTTACATCTTGTCGTCTTCAGAGTGCCTCTACTTTTAGACTTGAATACTATCAAGCATACCAAATTTGAATAAAATTAACCAAGGTGAAAGTCTGGTCTAACAAACTAGATTCAATTAAGACCAGTCATAGTAAGACAATTTAAGTAATACAGGGTTTCAGTTTAAGTTAGTAGGAAATTAAAGATAGTTACCATGGTATAACCTGATATTTTTGGGTTAGATGCCTGTGCCCTCAAATCTGATATGGGTGTACAGACCAGAACAAAATAAAATCAAACTAAACAGAGCAATAAGACTACTGTGACTTTTAAATCCTGATACACTATTAACAATGACTTCTGCCTTCCTTTTTTAGGCAATTTTTCACCTTTCCCCTGCTCAAGAGGCTTTGTATTTTTTTTTTTTTTTTTTTTTTTTTTTTTTTTTTTTTTTTTTTTTGGTCTCACTAGCCCCTTTACTTTTTAGATTAGGGGGCCAGCCCATTGTCTATCTCAGTGTTGCTGAACCTTTCTACCCCTGAGCTTGATCTTGAGCTGCACACCTTTACTCACTAAAGTCATAGGATTTTCCTTCCTTACAGCTGTGTAGTTCTACACTGCCCAAAAGTGTCTTAGCTTTCCAATCTATCTGCAGCTGCTGGATGAGTTGTCCCTATTTCTCTCTGGTTTCCTGTCACATATAGCTTTGCTTTCTCATCTTTGACTTTCAGTTTATCAACCCTCCTTCGGGTTGAGTGTATTTCCCATTCAGAGCATCTCGATGGATCCTGCCTCCTAATTTATTCTGCCTGTTTTTATTAAATTTTTATGTATCAAGGCTATCGATATTAAAGACTATAGCTTACCGTCTCTGCCTCATGTCTGTTACTCCACTTTACTGCTATAGTTTGTCCACCTTACTCTCTCATTCCACTGTCTGCCCAGTAGTTTGTTTGCCTAAGTAAATAATTTTATGTGATTTGTATAGAATATAACACTTATTTAGTTGCAAAGAGCTAGCAGTTTCATATGTGGTAAGACACAGTCACTTACTCTCATGCTCAGAGAAAGTGATGCTTTTATCCTCTCCTGCCAATGAGGAAACTGGAAGTGGTGGAGTCGGGGACTTGCAGAAGGTCGTATTCACAGAACATCCACTACACTGGGATGGTGAGTGGGAAGGCAAGGCAGCCTGCACTGGGAGACTTTGCTTCACCTAAAACAAAGACTTTGCATGTGAATTATTATCACACTTTCAAGCTTAAATGTAGTAATTAATGTTGCCCCTTTATAATAAATCATATTGATTCAGAAAAACATCAGGAAGGAAAAAATCACTGCAAGTCTCCACACCGAAACTGACAAATTCACAGAATGCCATACTGTGAGAACACACTTTTCTAGTGACAATTTTATTGTAAAAGGAGTGATTTTAACTCTTCTTTTGCAGCCTCTTACACATATTCTGAGAAATAATAGACAAACTATGTGAGGCTTAGTAAGGCAGAATTCTATTATACTAAGCAGGCATGAAAGTTGAGAGCCTTGTAAATATTAATCACAGCCTAATGAACAGTGGGAGATTTCTGAATATCAATCTTTACTAGGGGGAAATTTTGAATTAAAGGGAACACTTCCTAACCAATAAATCACTGGAGGAGAGTTGAAGGCATTCTCATGCATCTGCTTGTGTAGTGTGTTCTCTATTCCTAGAGGAGCAGACAGTGGGGATGTCAAAATAGATGCAAGTTTATAACCCCACATGGAACTTCTGAATTTTTAAATGGACCATTTTTTACATTTTTAATTATCTTCAAAAGAGGCTGGATTGCATCACCCAAAACTTGAGAATATTATTTAGTGTCAGTGTTAAAATAGGTCAGAAGGAGAGGGAGCACCTCTCATCCTTTCTCATTAACATTCGTAATTCATTGTCCAAGGGAGTAGAAGACTCAAGGTGAAGAGGAGACCAGAAATTCCAAAGCTTGATTAGCTTATTGCCTCTATTGAATGATTGTTTTCTGAGTTCATATATGACCTATAACAGAAAAATGACATTTTCCATCATAGTTGATAATTTCATAAATAATACTAACAGATCTATCCACACCTATACATGCTTAAGAGTTATCCACTAGCAGAACATTACCACATTTCTTCCCCACAGAGGGAGCTACTGCATATTAAGATGAGTCTGAGCAGGGATACTGACACATGATTTTATATTGTTTATGCTGAGAAACAAAAATATGAAACTCAGTTAAACCTTTGAATGTTTCTTAATATTCAGTATGTAGAAAGCATATAAAATCTGTATGCTTCTTCATTAGGCATTAATATTCACATGAAACTACTTAGCAATGAATGACAGCAGTTCCTGTGTCCCTTGGTGCCATCCAAATGTGAGCTCTGCTTACTGAAAGAACAAAAACCCATGTATTAAAGACCCTGGGCATCAGAAATGGTGGACACCATTGAGAAATACACTAGAAATAGTACTTCCAAACAGTATTATGCCATTTCAAATTCACAGGGAAGTTAATACTGACCCTTTAGGTAATATACAGCAGAATACTATAATTAAGCATTAACTACTACCAATCTTTCATTTATCTCACATTTTCTCTTAAGGGAGACACAATTATGCCAATTTTGAACACAATCATAGATCCTTCTGTCTAGTGGTTCAGTGGATATTTAAGAAATAGTTTAAGCTTAGCTTTTAGGTAAAAGTGTGTGTGTTCTTTCATTACAAAAAAGAGTTTGAAGACAAGTATTTGAATATAACTGAAATTATAATATGGTTCCCAACTCTATGTAATGCAGTGAAATGGAAGTTGTAGCTTTATATATATTTCAGTACACTTTTGTATGTAGGTACTCTGTGTCATCCAAAGTACAAAATACTAATTTCTAATTTCCTTTTAGTGATATTAAATCTGTGAGTTTATATACACTTCAGAGCTTGCCAAAAACTTCTCTTTTGAAACTTTAAGATGCTACTGTGTTGAGTGCAAAATATTCTTTATAATGTGTGTTAATGATCTTATTTTTTATAAATAAACTTTGGGTGATAAGTAGTATATGGAAAACTAATTACACAGGTGACAATAGCAGAGTTGGCTATCTTTAGCATTTTCTTTTACTTCATCTTACTCTCACAATAAGGTCATCTTGTTTTCTCACTGATAGGTAAAGTTTATGTAACACTTTTCTCTGGCACTTGGAGCTTTTAGATAATTCAATCATACTACTTACACAAACAAAAATAAAAGCCTTCACAACCCATTACCAAGATTCATTTTTTGATACGTTTGTTTACTATTTGCTGTCTCATCTTCTCTTTCTTATATAATTTTTCTGGGAACCCATTTTTTTTCCTGCTGTACATCAGAGTTTCAAAAAATACATTATACTCACCAGGGGCAATTCTGATAATTTTCAGTGAGTATTGTGTTGAGGACTAAAAAGCACTGAACTGATTAAAGAGGAAATAAATTAACTGGATTTGAGAGGAAAATACACTAACTCTCCAAAATGTGTCACTATTCAGTAGACAGTAACATGGTCTCTATGATGCTTGTGGGTCATAAAAATAGTGGTGGAGGTGTTGGCAAGGCTGGAAATGAAACTTGTGTGTAGAATCTGTGAAATGAAGGTAAAATAAAAAAAAAAAGTTACTGAAGGTGGTCTTAGAACACAATTAACAGAATTCTGTAAATTAAAGAGCGAAAGATGGTGGTGATTGATTGATAGTCATGAGGGTCATTCCTGTCAACAGGCTGCAGAGTGGGGTGGCCACAGGACCATCCAGGACCCAGGTCCAAACCTCATAGTGGGTGCCTCCAGCTGCTGCCCTGTGGGACCCTGTCCTGTGCACTGTACCTCGGTCGTTCACCAGCATGGGCCCTGGAGAGCTGCTTGTAGAACATTGCCTCCGGGTCTTACTGCCAAGATTCTCCTGGTCCCAGAGCAGGCCTTCGCAAACAGAACAGCAAAGCTGTTACCTTCAGTTCTACGCCCAGTGCCAGCCACAATGCCCTGTGCCCTCCCCTTCTGGGGTCTGTCTTCTTCTTCCTTAGGAAATGCTTACCCTGTCCCTCCTCCTTGCTGCTCCCTCATGGTTCCTGTCCACCCACCACTCACTCTGCCTCCTCTCCTAGGTGCTGGGGCTTCCGGATGGAGACCCCACTTTCTCCACACCTCTGTGTTTTCTCTTTTGCTTTGCCTACTTGAAGGCCTCTGTGCAGAGAGGGGAGGCCCCACGTTGGGTGCCAAAAATGTACCTGGGTCTCTTTAGTGCTGGGGTTTTTGTTTGGGGGCAAGGAAGCCTGAAGCTGACAAAACAGCAAACAGCAAAGAGTGAGGAATGCATTGCTAGAAAATAGAAAGGAAGAGAGTGGCCTGCTGGTCAGGCCGAGGTGGAGGTGTTGGTGTGCGAGTCTGCTGGACTGCACAGGTCTGCAGTGCAGTCTCTCAGGCCATCACTGCATAAGACCTGTCTCACTGTGCTTGCATCTTTGCAGGTTTGGATTCATTTTTCACAAGGATGAGGCTGCACTGCATAAAATCGACCTGGAGACCCTGTCATACTACCACTTGGTGGACCTGGGGGCGCACGGCTGTGTGCCCCACTCACTGGCCTACTTGCACCTGGGCAGGTACTACTTCATGAGCTGTAGGCCTGACGGCTCAGGGGCTGTGCCCCCACAACTGGTGTTGGATGGGGTCACCAACACAGTCACTGGCCCCAATGACAATAAGATGGGTACGCTCTAGGTGTCCCCCGATGGCCACTACCTGGTCAGTGTGGACAATATCCAGGGCCTGGTGCATGTGCAGCACATCAGTGCACATGGTGAGATCCAAGGAGCCTTCGACGTGTGCACTGACCTGCACCGGGCCAACCTGGCCTTCCTGCCATCCTTCATGGCCGCACGGAGATATACGGCTTGCGGCAGCGCTGGCACCCAGATGCTCTGCCTGGACCTGGCCTCGGAAGCCGTCAGCATGCTGGGTGGCCTGAAGGAGACCCTGTCTGCAGCACAGTGGACTTGAGACACCAAGAACCAGCATGCCCAGACCAGTGGCTTGTTCGGCCAGTACCTGATGAAGCATTCTGAGGACTCGCTCTTCATCCTGGATGGCCGGCTGAACAGGCTGAATTTGGAGATTACCCAGATCGCCAAGGGCAACACCCTGGTCTGGGTGGGCGAGGCCTACCCTTCCCCTGCAGGAAAGCCCCAGCACTTTGCCTTCAGCTGAAAGTGCAAAACTTCACCTTGCAAAGTCATGTCCCTGTCAGACAAAAATCACTGGGTGCCCCTAGTAAAACAGATCATTTCTGACAAAGAGATATGCTAAAATACGGCAAATTAGAAACAGTTAACACGATGTCTAATGCAAAATGACACCACTTAGAAGATTCAAATGCGTTATGTTTTAAACCAATAAAATATTTTAAATGATTTTAAAATGACTAACCTGCAGGGAATTTCAGACGATGTAAGCATCATGTGATATGAAGGGAGTCTTTGATTTTTACTCCATTTTTCTGATATATTGAACCAGAAATAAAAGGTAGTTCAGAACTCTAAAATGTTTAATTCAAAATATCCTGTTCTGTCCACTCTTTATATCTTTTGTCTCTTGAAGAGAATGTTACAGGAGGAAAAGGAAGACTAAAGGCTGCATACTGAACACCCTCATAGCTATAAATCTATTGTCACTTAAAACTGCTTAATATCTCTTGTCAAATGCTACCCTCAGTCATCTGTGGGACCCTCTGCGAAATCACATTTGAAGGCACAAGCCAGCATGAGATGGCACACAGGTGACAAACCCTACTTGACATTTATTCAGCATGCTATAGAAAACGGAGAAGTAGGGAGGAAAATAAATACGGTAAAACTGTTTGTAGTCTGTGATTCACTCACTTTGCCCTCCATCGCCGCAGTGCATTATAGATTGAATGTCAGTTTGTCTGGAATCCCAGCTGCACTGGAGTGTCTCCTTTGCTGTTGGCAGAACAGATGCTTCTCTCATAGCCCAGCTTTCCACAGTCAGGAGCTTTCTAAAAAAGGAACATCAACTGTATCTGCTTAGAATCAATCCAACCAGGGAAGCTAACAGCAGTGAGGCAGGGCCCCAGGAGGGGGAGCTAAGTGGGGGAGTTCAGGATGGGTTCAGTAGCATATCGCGATGGTGGTGAGCGAGGTGGACTTCTCCATTGCTTTTGCTATTTAAATTCCATGCCCTGAAGAACTTCACTGTCAGTAACTGCCACCCACGATTTCTGCTATTCAACTCCTACATACTCCCAAAGCTATCTTCTCACTGTGTGCAGCTGTGGGAACATAACTAATCCTCCCACTGGAGACGCTGCAGAGAAGTAAAAATCACTACTTCTTCCATTTGAGGAAATGGGAAGGAGAAGGCCAGTAGTAGATTAGCACTAGAGAGCTGGTTTATTGAAACAAGCAGAAAATTATCCAGGCTTCAAGTAATAGCTTACATGTTTTAAGATTTGCTTCTAATTGTTGCTAAAACTGTTAATGGGTTGTTGAGGTGACCTCCATTTACTGAAGGTATTCGTTAAGGTCTTTTTTAAATACAGATTTTACTCATTTAAAATTGTATAAAACTACACGTTTATAGTGTGTAATATCTACTTTTTTTTTTTTTTTTTTTTTTTTTTTTTTTTTTTTTTTTGGTCTTTTTTCCTTTTTATCGGTGCCCGGGATCGAACTCACAACTGCCTGCTTGCAAGGCAGGTGCTTACGCCACTGAGCTAAACCACCCACCCCTAGTGTGTAATATCTTATGTGTATATAGCACCCTGAGCTGTGAGGTCATTATTTCTTCTTAGCTTCAGGAAACATGAGAGGTAGATCTGACAAACAACTAAAATCAGCTTATCTTTCTACGTATTGAACCTGCTTCACTTTCCTGTAATATTCTCCTGTGTGGACACAAACTGGAGCCTCTGTCTGGGATTTAATGATTTAATATATGTCTGTCCCATACATTGTTCTTTTGTAACTTTTACCACGTAGCTACTGTCTTTAGATATGGCTTGATAAAATCTCTTACATTTTAACTCTTGTGCCTTTAGTGAGTGATTTTGTGTGCATTGTGTTCTCATCAATGATTTAACCTAATCTGATGTTATTTTGAAAGCAATGTGATGAAATGGTAGAGGAAAAGTAAAGTACAAGCTTTCTCTTTGTAAGAAATCTGAGTTGTTACATCTCTTCAGTGTTCACGGAGAATCATGCATCCTATAATGTCTATTTCTTTGAATTTATACATTAAGAGAATAATAGCTGAATGAAACATGAAAAGTGTACTCAGAACCTGGTGCTTCTCTTTCCATATCCTCGCACACCGAACAACACAGGATGTTTGTTGTTGTTGTTTTATTTTGTCCTCAGTGCTTAGGCTTGGAGAGAGCCTCACCCTTGATGGGTAGTTACTCTACCCCAGCCATATCCTTACCCTCAGCCAGCATGTTAAAAAGAGCAGGAGCTGAACACTGGCTCGAGAACCTAAGCAGACACAGTGTCTCTGCTGGTTATTTCTCAAGTGGGCTTGTGTTTCTCCAAGATAGAGTAAGAGGGTAAGAGGCAGGGCTGGGTGTCAGCCTCATTGTGCAGTGTATCACAGAGTTAGTGATAATAAACACTCGTGTGCAAAGTCAAGGAGAAAGACCCGTGTGAACACTAAGCAGCCTGCCTTAATGCAAGCTGTAACCACCATGTGAAGATGTTTAACAGGAAGCAAATGAAGCTGCAACCACAAAAAGCAGTAAGTGAGGAAAGTCAGGAAAGAGAAGGGAAGGGAGCAGCGGGCGGAGATGGGAGGTGGAAAGAAGGGGTCATGGTGGGAATGAAGCCAGCGTCAAGGTGTGAATTTAAGCAGAGCCCCAAAATAGTGTTTAAAAATGTTTGAAAACAGCATTTTATAACTTTATTGTTCTTTAATGGGATGACAATTTAACTTAATAAAGAAGAAATTAGAGGAAGACTTATGAGGCATCTATTGCAAAGATGCAAGTTTTTGGTCTTTAATATAAAGCAATTAAATTAAGTGTGTATTGAGACATAAGGTCTGTCAGGGAACTTTATCCTAAATGGGAACCAAACAGAAGGAGGCAAAAATGACGGCTCACACATATAGTTTATCATCACTGATGGGAATAAGACAGCCAAGGAAGAGAACCAGATTCAGGCAAGAGAATGATATTTCCAGACAAATGTAAATTAAATCACAACCAAGATACACTTTCAGAAATGTCACATGGCACAGAGTAAATCAATGTGATTTTCACGTATCATTCCACCACCTGTTTAATTATATGTGCAAATTTGAAATACCGGAAAAATTGCAGTTTGGAACCTTAGCACCTTTCAGATTCCCTCTCAGAGTGCTCAGAATTTCCTTTTATGAAATAAAGTAATTCAACTATATTTTGCATCCACTGAGTTAATATTTTACAATAAAAACATTTTGTTTAATCATATCTGACAACTTACTGTGTTATGCAAACTTTTAAAATGAGAACATGTGGGAACCATTTGCCTGCTCTTGGAGACCATATAACTCTATCAAGATGGAACCCAATGTGAGGGCCACAAGAACTGGGAAGGGACCACTTCTAATGTCTCTCTCCTTAGGGCTCACCATTTAGATGCTCCTGTGTGAAAGGAAAATAGAACAATAAACATCCACCAAGAGGCTGTTTTCTCTGTTCTGCCTACCACACTGTGACCAGTATAATTTACCTCTCTCGACAAATTTCATAGACAGAAATGTCGTATGGAGTCATGCTGTATAAATTCTCATCGGACTATGTTAAGTCATGGTAAATGTCCTCATCTTTCCATAACAAAATCCTATCCATGTGACATGGATTTTGTTTACAGTTAGTAAACTGCACAGGAGTTAATTCAAAAAGAAAACTTCTCTAATAGTCAGTGGTCAATGAATGTGTTTCTGGCATTTAATGGGTATGACACAGCTATTTTGTAGTAATTTACAGGTAAATTGCAAAGCAGAAAAGTTTTAACAATCATTTGTTTACTGGAGTGTTGGAATGATGAATTCTCAATGTTTTGGGATGTATTTGAGATCAGAATTAAGTTTTTCACTGAGTATAAGTTAGCAAAAACTGAAACAATACAGAGATATTGAATGTATTCCGTGTAAACATTTGGTAAATGGTTTAAAAATTTTCTCCAAATTCATATTTTGACACTTCAGAGAAACATTTTAATAAAATCCAAGTTCATCTCAAAAAAATATATTGACATTTCAATAAGAAAAAATGAAGTTGGTATTCATATGTATAATTTTTTAAAAAAATTCACGAAAAGTGTAATGTTCCTTTACACTCAAATTCATAAACTTATTTAAAGTGACAAAGCCGAGTGAAAAGTCTTATGGACAATTAAGGCAGATATGTTAAGATTGATAAATATTAAAACTGTTAAACACTGATTTATTCTATGGTGCTTCTACTCACTCGTCTGCTTTTAAAGTGGCTTTGGCCCCCTTAATTCAGTTTCTGTAATTTGTTCATAACTACTGGCAAAGAAGAATAAACAATCCATTTGCTCTTGAGAGTAAAAAATAATTCACCATGTTAGATTAGCAAACATCATTTTTAAATATTAATTATTCTTTGAGGTAATACTCATTTTAATTTGAACAAAAATGAGTACATTAATCAGATTAAAAATACAAACATATACCATGTTACTATTATATTGCTCATGAATGTTGCTTGCTGATAGAAATGTCACATTTTGTTTATTTTTACAGTGATTAAACCCTTCACTGGTTTGGGGTGTTTTAATTTGTATACATTCAGAAATAAAAACATAACTGACTATATAGGATAATTTAGTTTTAATACTTAAACAACATCTATTATAGTTTTGAAATGGTTATCACATCTTGAAATGTATTACGATATAATATTATAAATATTATATTAATATGTATTAAAACAAAACCCTTGCATAAGTTTGAATACTGATTCCAGATGACAAAATTTCACATTTTTTAGCGTGTAGGCAAGCATAAATTATAAATTGCAGGAGAAATCAAGGAAACAAAATAATGAATCTTAACACTGGAGATCTCATTAGATCAAATAATTTAAGAATTATAATTACATATAAACCAGAAAAATGTATGCTAGAGAATAATAAATACTTATACATATGCATATATGTATAAAAATCACTTCTATACTTTTCAAC